CAAACTATTAATTAATGGTCAATATAATAAATGTTTTTTTTTAAATGTCAAATTAAAATTTTGCCTGAAAAATAAACCACGGATATAAAGATTTTTAATTAATAAAGATTTATATAAATCAACGTGTCAATTAGACGGTTCTAAAGTTAAGTTACTTCAAGCACCGTAGTAAAGAAATTCACACAAAAACAAGCAAAATGCTAATAAAATGTATAGCTTCAAGCACCGTAGTAAAGAAATTCACACAAAAACAAGCAAAATTCTAATAAAATGTATAGCTTCAAGCACCGTAGTAAAGGAATTCACACAAAAACAAGCAAAATGCTAATAAAATGTATAGCTTTTCCGTGCTCTTTAACGTTTAGATTCTAATATTATAATGAAAGTTCTTTTTTATAAAAATATAAGTGAATCAATTAGCATATTTTTCACGATTGCTATTCTGCTGATTATACAGAAATTACAAGACTAATAGATGCTTTAATAATACAATACATTAGCAATATGTTAATCATCTTCAGATTGAAACGATGGGCATTTTTAATATTTAAAAACGTGTTGATGCATGTTTTGTAAAAAAAAAATTTATTGTTTAATATTTAAAACCCTGTTGATGCAGGTTTTGTAAAAATTCTGGATTTTTTCGTGACGTAGCTTACAAAATTGACGGAGGCAACAAGACCGTACTGCAGTGACGTCATAACACAGATAAAAATATCCGTCTGATTCAGACTGTCCGGCAGACGGTAGACATCTTGAATCAGTTTAGCCGGGATTAGAATAAACAGAAACGTCACTAGCGCGTTGACGACCATTATTGTGATTTTAAAATCTTTGACTTTCCTGGATTCCTGGGTTGGTTTAGACTTCCCTTTTGTATTTCTAGACATGATAAGTAGTTTAATTGATATCATGATACTGCACAAAACTATCAAAACAAAAGGGATGGCGGATGTCAGAACAAATATGTTTAAATAAAAATAATTGTGTGCGCTTTCAAACTCATCCATTTCAATACCGTCAAGGTAAAATAAATTATTTAATAGAAATACAGTGTATCTATTTTCAAAGAAACATATTATTGATGAGTATATGAAAATTAGAATAACGGCTATTTTGATTCGTGTTGTAGTGAAGTATTTTGAAAAGTTCAACGGAAAACAGACAGAAACAAATCTTTCAATCGTCATCAAGGCGACATGATGAAAACTTGCCAGGATAGCAAATCGGTTGAGATAAGTTAGGACAAAAAGGTATTCGATTCTGATACTGGAGATGGTTAGGCTACAATACTTGGAGAAGATGAGCAGTAGCACGACTTGTATGCCGGTGACTGTAAACAATAGGTATCCACACGATATCGAGATGAACACAACATTAGTCATGTCGTGTGACCTCTGACCTACAATGTCTAACACGGTCAAACAGTTTCCGGTGAATCCTAGTACAAAGATCAACATCATCATGGCGAGGTTGATGAAGTAATGCAGCTGGTAAACCGGCAGCGCGGACTTGTCCGAGGATTCGAACAAATCGCTGGCGTTGAGGAAAAACTGGATCTCATCTGTAGGATACAACGTCTTCAGGGTGTCCATTTTGTCTTCATGAATTAAAGGCAGCTCCCGAACTCAGTGAATAGATGTGGACTGCCAGCTTTGACGCTGTATACATTTATTCATAAACACAAATATATATATATATATATATATATATATATATATATATATATATATATATATATATATATATATATATAGGTTTATGTAGGCTATATATGCATACTAACAAAGACTTATGTATGTATTCATGTATACATATACAAATATATATATAATATGTCTATATATGTATAAATAAGTATATATGTATATATATATATATATATATGTATATATATATATATATATATATATACTATGTAGGCTATATATTTATATTATCAAATACTTATATTTGTATGTATATACACTGATATTAATATTTATAAATGTGTATATATGTATAAATAATTGTATATATATATATATATATATATATATATATATAGTTATTTATTTACATATATATATATATATATATATATATATATATATATATATATATATATATGTAGGCCTTATATATGTAGGCCTTATATATACATCTGTATATATATATATATATATATATATATATATATATATATATATATATATATATATATATATATATATATATATGTAGGCCTTATATATACATCTGTGTATATAAATATACATATATACATACATCTGTGTATATATATAAACATATATATATATATATATATATATATTCATATATATATACATGTACGCCTATATATATGTATACTAAAATATACTTATATGTGTATCCATATACATATATATATATGTATATATATATATATATATATATAGGGCCTACATATATATATATATATATATATATATATATATATATATATATATATATATATATATATATATATATATATATATATATATATATATATATATATATATAGTTGTATCGTAATATTTGTATATGTTTTGTGCAGTGTGTATGCCCAGCAGTTACAGTGGCACTAGAACATATCATTGTTCCACACTACCTTCACCTATAGCCTCTAGAACCATCAACATTACTAGCAGAATTAAAAGAACTTTGATACGACACCTTTATGCTGGTCCCCTGTATTGATCGAGTTTTATAGCTTTACTCTGGAACCACATCAAGACATTACAAATGTTATCATGTTTGTATGTGCATGGTCTATAAAACTGATAACGTCATACGTTATACACCTCCAAACGTGTTTAATGCGTTATTTTATTATCGTTTCATACGTTAAATTAGCAATGTAGCATTTAGTTCATATTTCAAAATAAGGCATCGCAACAATAAACATTTCAATAAATATTTTATGTAAACATTTTATTTGGAATGCTAGTTTTAATCTTAGAAAATAAACATTTAAAACAATTGTTTACCGTAAATTAAGCAAATAACCACAACAAAGGGTAAAAGATTACTTTTTAGTATCTAATTGTTGACAACATGTCTGTTAAGTTTTAAAGAGCCATTGACGTGTTGAGACGCTGGCGGCAGACGATCCACAAATTAAAACATGCGACTCTACGTATCCCATCCGCTCAGGGTATAAGCTAGCATGTATGAATGAAGAGACAAACCACGGAGATCCCAACACTTGGGATCTGGTACCGAGGTAGTGGATGTGCTACTGTAAAATCTTATAATCGTGTGGATGTGCTACTTCGAAATCCTACAATCGTGTGGATGTGCTACTGTAAAATCTTACAATCGTGTGGATTTGCTACTGTAAAATCTTATAATAGTGTGGATGTGCTACTTCGAAATTCTACAATCGTGTGGATGTGCTACTGTAAAATCTTATAATCGTGTGGATGTGCTACTTCGAAATCCTACAATCGTGTGGATGTGCTACTGTAAAATCTTAAAATCGTGTGGATGTGCTACTGTGAAATCTTACAGTCGTGTGGATGTGCTACTGTGAGATCATATAATCGTGTGGATGTGCTACTGTGAAATCCTACAAACGTGTGGATGTGCTACTGTGAAATCTTAAAATCGTGTGGATGTGCTACTGTGAAATCTTACAGTCGTGTGGATGTGCTACTGTGAGATCATATAATCGTGTGGATGTGCTACTGTGAGATCTTACAGTCGTGTGGATGTGCTACTGTGAAATCTTACAGTCGTGTGGATGTGCTACTGTGAGATCCTATAATCGTCTGGATGTGCTACTGTGAGATCTTATAATCGTGTGGATGTGCTACTGTGAGATTTTATAATCGTATGCTACTGTGAAATCTTACAGTCGTGTGTATGTGCTACTGTGAAATCTTACAGTCGTGTGGATGTGCTACTGTTAGATCTTACAAACGTGTGGATGTGCTACTGTGAGATCTTATAATCGTATGCTACTCTGAAATCTTACAGTCGTGTGTATGTGCTACTGTGAAATCTTACAGTCGTGTGGATGTGCTACTGTGAGATCTTAACGTCGTGTGTATGTGCTACTGTGAAATCTTAGATGTTCTACTGTGAAATCTTACAATCGTGTGGATGTGCTACTGTGAAATCTTACAATCGTGTGGATGTGCTACTGTGAAATCCTATAATCATGAGGATGTTCTACTATGAAATTCTACGATCGTAAACAATACAACATCGAATCCAGGGTTGTGAATATGCTACTATAAATTCCAACAGTCATAAACAACACAACATAGATTCCAAGTTACTGTCTGTGCTATTGTGAAATCCTACAATCGTAAACTATACAAACTTACTCTAAGGTAGTAGATATACTGCGAAATCCTATTCGTAAACAACACAACATGTATTCCCAGGCCACGCCTAGTCTATCAGTAAAACACCACGTAATGCAAGAAAACAGGTTTTTTGTTGTTTTCTTTTAATTTAAGACAAACTTCAAAATCGAAAAGCTGTACAATGTAACATTTTAACGAATGTCTGAAAAAGTAGAGACGTAAGTTTATCAAGCATTGTCATCTCTCCTTGTAAAAAAAAACCGAAGATCTTGAAACGTGTAAAACATTTACAATGGGCACTTACAAACAATAAGGCTTAGTTAAGGATGTATTTGAAATCATAGTATAGTGTAGGGAATCAAAACAATTACAATTTGAGTTTCTGCCCTTAATTCGAGGCTGAAAAGGGTTGGGGGTAGTTGGAACAGGTGTAGTTTTGATTTGGGGGGGGGGGGGGGGGGCTAAAAAAAGGTTTGAGCCGGAAGGGTTAGTGTTGCTGCATAGGGGGCGGGGGTGGAATAGTAACTACATTATGCATGGGTGGGGGTAAAAAATCATTTGGAAAAAGGAATTAAAAATCAAACAACCCCAAGGAGAAAGCATGAAAAACGTGTGCATACAAAAGTTACAGGCGTGTAACGAGTTTGTGTTCCCAACCCATATGGGTTTTTTTCTTCGATTTTATGCACAAGCGTTCTTGTCATGATTGTGTCCCCTTCCTTCATCCAGGCTGTGCCTGTACCAGTCGCTGTTGAATTTTTACCATTTACACTCACGCAAAAAATAGTTTTAGACTTGCTAATGTCGCAGCCTAGTAAGTCATGTTTGACTTTTGCCTGACCCCAACCATCTAAGGTTTGCTTAATCGTCAGATTTACAACATACAGTCCGCGAACGGGCGCGGTGAACTTCCACCCCTCAAAAATGTTCCCAATGTTCAAATCAATTACTTTATAGCCAATCATAGCTTCATTAAAACCATCAGGGACTCCACGCTGACTACCTGTAAAAAAAAATTAATGTTTGTATTATTATAATCAAACAAAAAAGCATGGTCGGATGGTAAACCTTACGACTGCTACCCCGGGTTCGAGTCTGTCTCTGAGTCCACTCAGCTGTGATGGGTATCTGACTCGTGTTAGGAAAACCTAGGTGGCCGGGCCTAATGCCGACTATACTATCTCTTCATATGCCGAGGTCATTGAAACATGTGAAGTCTATTTTATATGCCCCATAAATGGTGGGCAAGAAAGACTAAAGCTGAAATGTCATTAATTAAACAAGAAAATATTTTAAATCAACGTTTACCAGTACGATATATATATATATATATATATATATATATATATATATATATATATATATATATATATATATATATATATATATGTATATATATATATATATATATATGGCGTACACAACCTAACATACACTAGATATTAAATCTTTTCATATTTCACCACAAGTATACGTCTACAAAATGTACTTTTAATAAGGTTTATGTTGATAGACATTGCTTGTGGTTTAGGTTGAAAAAGATTGCATTTGGTTTATCAATTGATTTAAGTAGTCATTTGACCTGTAGTAATCATTAGATTAGATAAACATGAAGTACCACTGTTCTATGTAGGGATAGTTTACAAAGGAGTTCACGACTGTAGCGTCTAAATGTGTAGTGCGATTGAATACTTGCTGGGACACACCACTTAAGTGGTGATACACCGTTTGAATAAAAAGATAGGAGACGGGGCCTGTTTCACACCACTTAGGAGGTGATACACAGTTTGATTTAAAAGATCTGACAGACGCAGAAGTGTAACAAGACATTTCGGCGCCCAGGGCAAACTTTGAGCTTCTAAGGCCACCCCCCCCCCAAATGTATTTACTTATCTATATATATAATTCTCTTCTGGGAGACGCTAGAAAACAAGCTGTAAACGCGCTCCCTACCATCCCCACCCCTACATGGTCTTAGTGAGCTGTGGTTCACGCTATGTTTACCTTCGTGTAGTCGGGTTTAGTGACGGCTGTTAAGGGCAGATAATTTAGTTTGAAACGATTTTAAATTGTTGGGGGGGGGGGTAGGGGAAGGAAGGGGGGGGGGTTATGGTCCTTAACGTGCTACTTATAGTGTTTTAAAGAAATATTTTCAGTGTCATCGTTGGTACTGTCGAATTCACAAATTATGAATTACTGAAAAGTAGAAAAAACAACAACTAAATAGCGGCGTATGTTATGCCGCGGGCCGGCTCGTTCACTATAAAGCAGCTTAGAATATGCATTTTATTTTATTTTTATACCTAATTTTGCGCCCCCTAGGATCAGCGCCCGGGGCAGCCGCCCGACCCGCCCTCCTCCAAGCTACGCCTCTGTGGAGACAAGACGTGTATCACAAAAATCGAAAAGCAAAAAAAAAAGTGTGGAAGGGAGGGGGGCAGGTGAGATCCTGATTTACCCTGAGTGCCCCACACATAAGTGAATAGTGGTTCTAGTTCTGTTGCGATAAGAGTGAGGGTTAAGTGATGTGAAATCGTATTTCTTTCAACTCAAAATGATAGAAGTAATGTTAAATTATGTACAATAATTTTGATTTCAGGGGTGGGGTGGGGTGGTTTTATGACAGGGGTTATGTCTAGTGACATGGGAGGAGCATTAGGAGGTGGTAAAAAGGTAAACGTTCGAGTCTTACGGTCCACGTATAAGGTGAAGTAGAGTTTATCTGTTTTTCAGTGACCTCGCCATAGAAAGTGATAGTGTATTCAGTACAATGACCAGCCGCCTTTATTTCCCCTAATGTGAGCCATGTAAACTAAATAGACTCAGCACCTTATTACAGACTCAAGACCCGGGATCCGAACTCGAGACTTTCCGGTGAGCAGGAGAACGTTCTACCATCCATCTATATTTGTATTAAGTTACTTAAAAGTTTATTTCATACCCAAAATGAAATTAGCCTACAAAATTAATAAAATGGCCAAATACATTTTTTAACAAAGCTAGATCATTTACATCATATTAAAGAATATGTCTTTATTTCACTTTGTGGAAGAAATACTTGTGTAACAACCAAACTAATAGAATAATATTTATTCGTTGAATTATAATAAAACGTGAAATTACCATCTGAAGCGACAAATCCCAACACAAAAGGCTCCATAAGTTGGCGACCTGTTGTAACAAATTTTACTTGTTTATTAGCCATACCAATATATTTGTTAAGCTACTATAATATAACTATAGCAGAGCACACACACGTTATCAAACAAATTTATATAAGTCAGAAATAATGACTAAAAAGGGGGCAACACGTTGAGAGCTAAAGTATACAGATGAAGCAGAGTACACCTGGTCTACTTATTAGCACCATAAATACGCTTATGACAGTTGGTCTTCCGTACTGTAAAACTTTGTTTTGTTAGTTTTTCATTGTATATTTTTCGAGTATGTGTCAATATTGGGCAGACCTCGCCCACTTTCCCCTCCGCACCCCCCCCCCCCCCATCCCCCATCAAGAAACGTTATTGTTTACTTACCAATCTTGTAAAAATCAATCTTTTCAAGATTTGCCGTTTTTTCGAGCTGCTGATAAGATAACACATTACCATTTTAGCAATCTTAATAAGGCTTGTGGGCATAGTAAAATGGTGTATGTTGGGCTGTCATTATAGAGTACGATCAGTAGGCGACTGGTCGATACAAATAATTAATGCTAATTAAATTAATGTACCTTAGTGATGCTGTTGCTCACTGACGTGGATTTTGTGTTGATGTTTACCATTAGCTTTTCTATGGGTGCTAACCTATGCTGCAGAGTCGGCACAACACACCAAACTGTTTCATGGAGAATAGCCATGTGTACATATACGACTAACTAAGAGGGCTATATATATATATATATATATATATATATATATATATATATATATATATAGAGAGAGAGAGAGAGAGAGAGAGAGAGAGAGAGAGAGAGAGAGAGAGAAAGAGAGAGAGAGATACGTATATATACATATATATAGGCTATATATATATATATATATATATATATATATATATATATATATATATATATATATATATATATATATATATATATAATTTCCAGTCACTTAATCCCAGACACTTAAGCCACGACACTTAATTTCTTAGACTTTAAATCCCTATGCACATAATACTACTCTAACCCTAATCCTAACCCCCACCCAGCATTACGTGTTTTGTTAAGGATTAAATATCGAGGATTTAGCATCAAGAGATTATACATATATATAGGCCTATATGTATTTATATACATTTATATATATATATATATATATATATATATATATATATATATATATATATATATATATATATATATATATATATATATATATATATATATATATATATATTTGCGTATATATATATATATATATATATATATATATATATATATATATATATATATATGGTTTATGCATGTGATTTGAATCTATTTGTGAGTTCGTGAAATGTAAAGCTCGAGTTTTCTTAGATTCGTATTAGATACGCACATAACCACCGTAAATTTTGTTTCCAATAAAACTTTAACTAAGATCTTCAATTAATAGGAAATGACTCAGCCTGGAATATCCTAAATTAAAAAAAAAGATAATAAATCCATTGCAGTAATTAACGTTTAGCTTACCTTAGAAGTAACTTTTTCCATTGTGTATGTGGATGAAAAACCGATTTGTTTATCATTTTCTTGAATTGCCGAGACTAGATCAAGCAGGCATTTACTTTCCTGTCTTAGACAGCTATAATTATCCTGTATAACTTGAATCTCTTTTCTAATTAAATGTGTGTCACTTTTCAAGTTTTTCAAATCTAGAGCAATCACTTGTAAATGTTCATCTGCGTTGGATTCTTTTGATTTAAAATTTTCCATTTCTTTTGTCAAATGTTTTATTTTTGCGTCTTGCTCATTTATTTGTCGCGTTAGGACCTCGACATTTTGTTTATGTTTTTTGGACATTTTTTTCACTTTCATCTCCAAACCCCGCTGTAGGTTTAACATTTCGTCTTGGCATTGTTTAACCTTCAATAATTCTTCTGCATCATTGTGTTTAGTGGTTTCGAAGGACTTCAAAATAGTCTCTATATCGCCCAGTCTTTGTACAAAATCTGATATGACTTTAGCTAACCATAGAAAACAAATATTATAAGCACTTTTATCAAACTATATTTACATAAGAGTGTCCACTATATATATATATATATATATATATATATATATATATATATATATATATATATATATATATATATATATATATATATATATATATATATTGTTACGATCCCATGGGGGGGATCTTACCTTTTTTGGACATGGCTGAACGTGGGTTAATTAGGGTGTCACCTAGAGATTTATGGATGGGGGGGAACTCTCGACGTGAACCCCCTTTTTCGTGGTCGGGCCAGCCCGTAATGAGAGATGTCACGGACTGGCGCAGGTCGTGAAAGAGACAAAGGGTGGGATGTTATTGTTGATGCTAGCGGGTTACCCCCCCCCCCCCCCCTTCTCACCTGAATCTAGTTGGCCTGGGTGACCGTAATGGGGGTAGTATATTAGCAGGGTCTGACAATTTAATCAGGTACCCCAGACCTGTTGGCGACATTTAATTAGGTTAGGCTTGAGTGGGAAGTGTTGGTGCATAATTAGCCCCGCACCTGGACATTCGTGACTCTGTTATTTAAGCAGGGGGACACTGAGGGACACTCAGGGGGGACACTCACGAGTCAGACACTCGGAGACGGACGGACTCGTCTCGGATAGCTAGGTCTAGAGGAGACAGACATGGGGCATCTCTGTGAGCTAGTGGACAGCCAAGAGATGCCTGTACTGTAGTAGACCTAGGCTAGATAGACAGTTAGGGACAAGTAGGGTAGTCGTACTAAGAACTTTAGTTGTTGTAGTTACTTGTGTATATTTCTGATTGTTGTACTTCGGTGGCGGGTTAACTTTAAGTGTTGTAATGTGTGGAAATAAATAGAGATTACTGAAGTTGGCGTTTATTTTTTTTTATTTTCTTCTTCTTGTTTACGATTCCCTGACTAGTTCGAAAGGATTAGAGAAGGGAGTCGTAACAGCATTGGCGGCTAGCGTCCGGGATAGGACAGACAACGAGTTGAATAGTTTCTTTTGATGCCATTTTCAGTTGGGGGCTCACGAGCTTGTGTTTGAGTTTTAAGTTTTATGAGTAGTGAGAGTAAAGTTGTTTACGGAATCAGGAGAGTTTTCCAAACATTGAGTAAGTAGCGAGCTTATCACCTTTGTGTTGACACTGATTTATTCATTAGAGATTGTTCTTTTTTTGTTGATTCAGTATAGTTGGAGGGATTAATGCCCAGTATACTTGAATGTTTTTGTGTGGTCCTTCCCTAAGTTTAAAATCGTTTCAAACTAAATTATCTACCCCTAGTAGCTGTCACTTAACCCGGCTCTACGATTGTAAACATTTAACGTGAACCACAGCTCACCAGATCATGTAGGGGTGTGGTGGTAGGGATCGCGCTTACAGCTTGTTTTCTTGCGTCTCCAAGAAGAGAATTATATATATATATATATATATATATATATATATATATATATATATATATATATATATATATATATATATATATATATTACTCTAAACTTACTTTCACCAATTGTGTCTGCAGCTGGACAATTAGATGTTAGTTGTGATGTGTTGGCCTTCCCTATTTCATAAGAATCTCCTTCGGAGTTTTCTATGAACAGAAATCACAATCTGATTATAACCTAACCTGATTGTATGCTAACGTGATTATAGTGTGATCATAACCTTGATTTATATTGATCTTAAATTGATTTTACTTTTGATTTTAACCTAATTATCACAAATATAACATGAGTATATGATTATAACCTGATTATAACCTGATTATATTCTGATTATAACTATAATAACCGCAGATGTAACCTGATCAAAACCTGAATATATATATATATATATATATATATATATATATATATATATATATATATATATATATATATATATATTTATAGGTTCCCAGAAAGAACCGCAACGGAAAAAAGCGCAACGGAAAAAAGCGCAAATCAAAAAGCGCAACGGAAATAAGCGCACACGGAAAAAAGCGCAAAGAGAAAAAAGCGCACACAGAAAAAAGCGCAAAGAGAAAAAAGCGCAAACGGAAAAAAGCGCAAAGAGAAAAAAGCGCACACAGAAAAAAGCGCAAACGGAAAAAAGCGCAAACGGAAAAAAGCGCAAAGAGAAAATAGCGCACACGGAAAAAAGCGCAAACAGAAAAAAGCGCAAACAGAAAAAAGCGCAAAGAGAAAAAAGCGCACACAGAAAAAAGCGCAAACGAAAAAAAGCGCAAACGGAAAAAAGCGCAAAGAGAAAAAAGCGCAAACGGAAAAAAGCGCAAACAGAAAAAAGCGCACACGGAAAAAAGCGCAAACGGAAAAAAGCGCAAACGGAAAAAAGCGCAAACAGAAAAAAGCGCAAACGGAAAAAAGCGCAAACAGAAAAAAGCGCACACAGAAAAAAGCGCAAACAGAAAAAAGCGCAAACGGAAAAAAGCGCAAACAGAAAAAAGCGCACACAGAAAAAAGCGCAAACGGAAAAAAGCGCAAACAGAAACAGAAAAATGCGCAACCAGAAAAAACACAACGAAAAATGTGAAAAAGAGAAATTTAGCACAAAGACCATATGGACTAGATGACACATTTATACATGACTGTTAGGGCTGCTGTGAGAGTGTCGTGTTTGATCACGTGATCTACTACCATTTAAAGCGTACCACTACCATCTGCATTCCCATCACCACGATACAGGCGATAATCACTTTACACAATGCCTATTATTTTCTTGGTCAATAATTAGTCAACTACTATTCTCGTATAAACATAAAACTATCGACATTACACGAAGTATCTTTCACATTCTCCCTAGTCCGAACTACCTAGCTTGCATACTATAACAACCCGTTCCTATGGCAAAACTTCACTCTCTTTCATCCGCGTCATCAAACATACATTCGTCATATCTCTCGTAACAACATTCATTCATATATATATATATATATATATATATATATATATATATATACCGAGGGGTCTATGAGGGGGAGGGGGGGGGTTATGACCCCCCATAAACCCCCCTGCCTACGCCACTGCATATAAGTATTCGCATAGATTTAGAGTAGCGTCCCTTTTGTTTACATGTTTTCATTACCCTTCAAACAAAAGTCTATTTTAGTTATATTGAGATTAAAGAATGTAAATAAATAGTATACACAATTCTGTAGAATAGGAACGATTGGGAGGGAAGTGACATTTAGCGCAGTAAATTTAGAGGTTAGGTAGGGTATAATAAATGGTGGGGTTAGGAAAGTTAAGGGGTCCATTCTCTAATAGGCAATCTATGTCTCTTTCGTACTTTCGTGTTGGTTTATTGTCGAACCTGTCCTCACCTCACATCACAACAGTTGGGTGACGCTTACCGTGTAATGTTAAAATAAATAGCATGTAATTGAGTTAGTTCGAAGTGAGTTTTCATACAAGCCCAACGCACTAATTAAGGTTGTCGCAAAATGTAACATATATGTAACATATGCCAATCAGTGTTTCTTCCAGACTTTTTTCTCCGGGGGGGCACTTGAAATCTTCGGGGGGGGGGGGGGGGGCGGTAAACTTTCTTCGGGGGGCGGACACTGTTAAAAGTGTATATTTTCTATATAAATTTTATAAATTTCATTTCGTTCGGGGGGGGGGGGGGCGGTAAAACATTTTCGGGGGGGCTTTGCACCCCCCCGAAGAGATGCCTGGAAGAAACTCTG